CATAACATATGAAAAGTTTCTTATTGGTAGATTATTGATCAGACAGATATTTTAAGAGAAAGCATTCATTCCCTTTCTACTAGAGATAATTCAATTTGGACAATGGCAAAAAGGCTAGAAAAGCAAGCATGAGCATATTGGTCCCATTGTTGGCACTAGTATGGTTTACGCTCAAAATACTGATTACCTGCATCCCAATATGAATTCAATTCAGCTTTTGGTGGAATTTACCATCTGTGATATATTTTCAAAAACTACACAACATACATACATGACAAATACACAGAACCATAAGTAAACAAGCAATAATATATATTTATATATAAATTTTACTAAATGATCATAAAATGTTCCAACGCTAAAAGAAAGTTTTAACATCCAAGTAAATGACATAATAAAAAAAAGCAAGTTGAACAGCCGAGCACATGAATAAATGTGCATACACCTGTAAAAATATACCATAGGTAACTGACAAAGCATTTCGTAGCAAATAATATGACTATAAAATTTCCAATAATACCATGTAATGATGGTGAATTCAATTTAGATCGCAAGAACATGCTCATACTTTTGAAAAGATTCAATTATTTCAGCAATTCCTTGTGAATTGGAATTTACCCTTTCAATATTTCCCAACAATGTAAGTGTGAATGGAGGAATAAATTGTTATAACAGAATTGAACAATTATTAGCATCCCCTCATACACACACACACAAAAAAAAAAAAAAAAAAAAAAAAACTTACTTTGTAAAAAAATCATCCGGGCAATGATTCTCCTTTGACACAGATGCAGTTGTATCAATAATTTCTGACCTTCAATAAAAAAAAATAACGCATATTTTACTTCGGAATTAACTTACTACGAAATCATAAACACGAGGTAGTCGATATAAAGAATAAATTATTTCTCACCTCTCGAAAACATCCGCTTGTTCGGAATCTTCCACATCTCGGGAATTTAATTCCATATTTATTTCTTGAGCTCGACGTTTACGTCTGAAATTCTGGATCTTTTATTAAAACCAGGATGTTTTTTCGGTCTTCCTTGATATTTTCGCATATTTTTTGCTAACTGACCACAGTACAAATAAATGTAAACAAAACGAGTGCGGAATAGCAATGCAATAGGGTTGCCGTAAACGTCATTCCTGCTGACAGCTGACAATGTTTAGTGAAAACTGTGTATAAAGGAATATATGAAACGCTTCTAAATATTATTTAGAAAAAAATATGATTTATAACTGATATCAAAATCAATTACTTCGTGAATTTTTGCAGAAATAAGATTACAATGCTAAATTTTAACTCGTAGCGCCATCTATTGATGGCTTTCCAAACTACACATTAAAATTACGTATTTCAAACTAATTTTTTTAAAATATAAATTTAAGTAAATTTCATTTCAAACCTGATTCTAACATTGTGATTCGAAAACTGACCTATTGCTTTATATTCTGCCAAATTCACGCAACATAGTTTCTTAATTAGCGCTGCGTGTAAAAATTTTTAGTATTGTAATGGCTGTAGTGACCCTAAGCTTGGAACTGCAATTTGTGTCGTCTTCTACAGCATGCAAGTTATCACCGTTCAGTTTGTACTACCACGAGCAATGATCTTCAGAATTACCGTATTGCGTTGCATATTTTCCACCCCACCCAGCTTTAGAACCAGATTCTGAAAATTAAAAAAATATTTGCATAATTTTCCCCTTTTTAATGCATTCAGAAAATGAACATCCCAAGATTTTAAAATGGATTTATCGACATAATGATTGTTTTCGTCATACTAACAAAGGCAAACTTTTGCACACTAAAGGCCCCGTTGAATCTTTCTCTTCTAACTGTTGAATATTATGTCAGGCCTAATAAAAAAATGATCTATGATAGTGAAAGCAAATACCAACCGCCATTCACTGTGCAATTTTGCCATATAAGCTCCATATTCACCTTCTCTAATTATTTATGTATGATCTGAGGCCTAAGGAGTTGCAAGAACAACAATGAGAATGAGAGAAATTCAAATTATAAAGAAGTAGAAATGAGATAACTTATTAGATGTTGCAATTATGTGTATTCTTATTGAACTATAGGTTTCTTTTAAAGAAATAATATTGTGATAGTAGTAGTTTATCCATGATTACTTTTCATTTGTTATATTCCTACTGTGACTGTGTCCTTTGGAAATTAAATTATTCGTTTAATTTTTCCCTCTCAATTTTCGGAAGATAAAATTAGTAAAAATAAGTGGAAATATGGCATCAAGAGCATTAGATATCGCCATTTTCTTGAAGCTGTTCACTATTATTGTTTCATCAATGATAGGCCATGCACCCAAAATCCACTAGCAAATCAGTTAGTAAGATGAAAACGACCACTATGCGGACGAAAAATTTAGGGTAACTTGTTTTGTGAGCGCCTTAAGGAAGACAAACATTACCTAAAATCATTAAAACATATTCAGAATCCTGTGCTAAAAGAAAGCTAGGGGGAAAATGTTGTCCGAGTCCCAGTGATTCATTTGGACGAATATGTAATATTGTTTTAGAAATTTAAGGTAATAAATACAATATTTTTCGAATGCTAGAACAGTTCGAGAAATTTATTCAAGTTATGAATTCTGAATATAAGTATACTGTATATTATATTTAATAACTATGGTGGCTTCATTTATGAAAATATTTGAATATTGGCTGTTTTTGTACAATGAACCTTCTCTAAGCTAGCTATACGTGATTCCTGAAGATTTTGATCTTCAATGATAGTGGGCATCCTAGAGAAGTTATGTTTACTAATTAGTTATTTTATGAGGAATGCTGGGTAAATTTAAAAAGTGATTGACTGAGGTAGTTTGTCGTAATGAGACGGTTCACTGTAATCCAATTTTTAAAGAATTTAAGCTGTTCTTAATTTCTTAAGATATTATAAAGAAATATGATTAAAAGTGTTATATAAGCACACGTTTAAAACATCTATTAAAATAATTTTTATAAGCTTTTTAAGAGCATGGATTTATGAAATTTCTTTTTTAGAAACAAAGAGGGAAAAACCATTCATTTTTTCCAAGCAGTCGAAACGAATTTTTATGAAATGTTATATTGTGTTATTTTTAATTAATTCTTTTTTCAGATTTTTATGTAAAGTTTATGAATTAAGTAATAAATTATTTTTACTTCTGTATTTTAATTAGCATATTATTTGCTTCATAATATTTCACAATAAAATTATAAATTCAATAAACTTCTTAATTAACATGCTGTAATATATATAGAGGGCATAAAGTTTGTTTTCTGGTTGTCACATGTATATTTCACAATTTTGTATGCAAATCTCGAAACTTTATAATAAATAGAACTACTTTTTTAATATCACTTTTTAAATGGTAAATATTAAGCTTAAATTTTTTACATATCATGTTTGTAAAAAATTATAGGTAAAATTAAAATGCATTAAATTTTAAGATAAAGTGAAGTACAGTCAAAAGTCGTTAATCCGGACTCGTCGGGACTTCGGCGATTCCGGATTATCGATTTTTCCGGATTATAGATCATCAGTTTAAATCTCGTAAGATGGCATGCAGAAATTCTAAAATTAAAAATATGAAACCGTAATTTATGAAATAAAGAACAATTATGATCTAAAGGGTAATCAAAATTGCAAAAAGAAAAAAGCTTAATATTTATTTGTTTACTTTATTAAACATTTCTTTCAATGTAAGTTGTTTAAGTTTTGCTTCGTTTCATGTGATAATACTTTCTCTTTAATTCTATTAAACAGACATAATTTCTTGTTCAGTTACAAAGTTCCGCTGTTCAAGTCCTATAATTGCTGTGTCGAGAACACCGACTAATTTGTCAATCGAAATTTTTTCGTTTTCGATAACCTCTGTCACTTTCTTCGCTATCGGAAGCGAATTATAATGACGAGGAACATATCGAGATGAAATACTACATTTGGTAAGGAATTATAAGCCAAATAAAATAAAAACATCTGCGCTGAAGATAAGGATAGTGCTGATAGATCAACTTCCAATTCATTACGCGCCCACCGCGGCGTTCCCCCCGCCGAGCAGCCTGAAATTGATAAACAGATTTCGGATTTCAAAACATACTTTCGCTTTAGATCCTTTACATATTAACAAATATATATCGCAAATTCTATTTGATATAATCAAAAGTTTAAGCTTACTTTTATAAAATTGCTCTTACAGTCTGCAAAAAATAATAAGCCGGATCCAATTCGAAAATTAAGGAACAATGCAATCATCAACATTAACTGAAATAGATAATTAGATAATTTTAGCTTATACCTCCATTATACATAAAACGCGCACGCGAAAACGTATTCTGCACTTGCGCACACTCATATGCGCAGTCGTAAAAGGTCTTACGCGCACGCGTAAACGCCTATGCGTATGTGTCAACGCGGCGCATGCGCAGAAAGTTTTTAGTTTTGAGGTCCGGATTATAGATCATTCCGAATTAACGACTTTTGACTGTATTAATTTTTGAAACAAATTTGTTAAAGGCATAATTGTATTAAGCATGAAGAATTTTAATGGAAGCAAGCCTTTGAAAATTAAGGTCAATTGGTGAAGTTTTATACTTATTCAAAAAACATGACATTAGACTTTTATTGAAAGACTTCTATCTGTTAATTCAAAGGAAATTATTTGAAGGTAAGTTAAAAACGTTATGCATTTACCATCTATTATTTCAAACAATAGCAGACTGTTGACAAACACTAAGTGCAGATAAGAATAAAAAGATTAGTTGGACGTTGTAATGCAAGCTTATGAACAAAATTTTGAATTCCTTGTAGTAACAAAATAAAGTTCATTGCTATGTTAAATTCTTTAATTTACTGAAAATGTCCTTTTTTAGAAGGAGAGAATAGAGAATATAATATTTTTGAAACATAAAGAACAGCTGTTCTGAGTTCTTCGTAGAAATATTTCACAAAATGTCTTTTACAGTAATAATATGATCATATCAACATGAAACATGTTTACTCATGTAAGTTAAATCTAAAGCAACATGTGTCTATTTTAGCTAAAATTACTAAAAAGAAAGTTCTAGAACATATCTTAATCGTTGACACTAAAACATGCAAATAAAGCTTTTTTTTTTTTTTTTTTTTTTTCCTCCTTAGCTATTTTACAGGCCAAATATAAATTCCAGATGCCATTTCATTATTTTATATAAAGGATATACATGTAATTTAATGTAAGGAGTAGCATATCAATTTGAACTTAATTATCAAATTAAGCTCAAATCGATTATTAATCAAAATGATATATATACATACAGATATCATTGTTTTACTCAAAACATATTGATTTCAATGTATTTTATCATAATAAGCATCATTTCATTTTAGACAAAAATCTATTACTTTTATAGACATATCCTTTAGTATTTCATCTATGAAAAATATATTCTACACACATATAATTACTTAATGAAATATTAGAAGGAAATAATCTGAAACCTTTACAGATACAACCATTGGAATTTTACGTAAGAAAAGTATCTTCTACTCACATAACAACTTGCTGAAATAATACAAGCAAATAAACTGTAACGGTTACAGATATATCTGTTGAGATTTTACATGAGAAAAATATGTTCTTTTTACGTAATTATTTGCTGTAATATTACTAGCAAATAATCTGTAACCATTACAGATATATCGTTTGGGATTTTACATGAGAAAAACATGTTCTTTTTACATAATTATTTGCTGTAATATTACATCCAAATAATCTGTAACCATTACAGATATATCGTTTGGGAATTTACATGAGAAAAATATGTTCTACTTACATAACTATATGCTGTGATATTACAAGAAAAAGATCTGTAACCATTACAGGCAAAACTCTTGTAATGTTATTAGGATAACACCTGTTTCTGTTACTCAAATAACCCATGGCATCCCAGTTTCCATGCGTTTTCTTAGTAACCTTACAGATTTTTTTTCACAGTGTACTTTCTTTACTAATGTGTATATATTTTTTGCAGTTGCAGTGAGATCTGCTTTCACATCGGATAAAGCTTCTTTTCCCATGTACTACCATTAAAGTACTGAAATATTCCTAAAAACTAGTATTTAAATTTAAGAATTTAAAATGATAATTTCTTTACAAAATCTGTGAATGCCAGCGTATTTGATTGGAAAAAATTCAGTGAAATTTCACGCACATAAGAATTGTGTCATACTTTTTGGGGGGGCGGTGGAGGAGAACTTAATTAATTACTTTGCTTTTTATTGGAGAAATTATGAAACTTTTTTATAAAATAAATTAAACTTCTCCTTTTTTTTTATCTCTCCACTGGTATACCATTTTTCATTTCTTCCATTATCCTGGAGGAATTCCTACGTTGATAATTATTCTAAAAGTATTCTGAAGCAAGAAAAGTTTAGCGGAACTAAAAAGGTTTAAAAAATTGATTGACTTACAAGCTGAAATCAAAATTTCCTGAAGGGGCAAGAAATATTACGGAAATTTGGGAAGAATCTCTTTTTCTTTTCTTACTTTTAAGATATTGTGGAATAATAAAGGTTAGTGGTAATGATGTAGTATATGATCTGCCACTTTCATTTAAATTGTGACGCAAAAACCTATTTTTAAATATGAAATTAAATGCATATAATTAAAAATACATAAATAAAAAGACAAGCATCTTAAAATATCTATACAATGACCATAAAATTCCTCAAAGGCCATGTAATAACATAAATGAAAAGGACCGTAAATGGGCCATTTTATGAGTCATGCAGCCATATACATTCCAAATGTCATGCAGCATGGCCAAAAGTCATAATTTTTATTAACTCTCCACGGTGCTCCACTAATCACTAACTGAAAATGGAAGACTGCATATTAGATCATTACTAAATTATTAAATAGTCTGTCCTCTTTGAGAATTAAGAAAGTAAAATTCTCTGGACTTTTCAAAGAAAAACATGTTTATCTGTTCTAACAATTATGTTTTACCACATTAACCTTAATTTTTTTTTTTTTTTTTTTACTTGACAAAATTTTTAAGGAGACAAAAATCTGCCAAAATTTTTATTAATGATTTGGTGATTATTTATTTTAAATGACTGATTTATGACATTTCATATTTCTTTTTTAGGTGCTTTTCAATGTTGTCATTCCAGATCATAAAGCTGATGCATTTCGTCTTCCTTACAGAGTAGAGCCTGGTGTTGGAAATGTCATTGTATCTAATTTACTTGGCGGTTTTTCTCGTTGGGATGCACAATATTTCATGCATATTACTTTATATGGCTATACTCATGAAAACACATTAGCTTTCTTTCCTTTATTTCCTCTTTTTTTGAAGTGGTTGTCATGCTTAATCTCATTTATATTTCCTTCATTTTTTTCAAGTTTGAACTGTGTTCTTTTGGTTGGAACTTTACTGAATTGTATTCTTTTCTCTATAGCTGCAGTATTTTTGTTTAAATTGACTCACACAGTATTTCATTCAGAACTCTTTGCTTTTACATCTATCTTTTTATTTTGCATTAATCCTGCATCAGTTTTTTTTTCTGCTTTATACTCTGAAAGTTTATTTTCATTTTTTACTTTTAGTGGTCTTTGGGCATTAGAAAAAAACAAAATATTTTGGGCTTTAATTTCTTTAACTTTAAGTGTTGGTGTCAGATCAAATGGTGTATTATCAGTTGGATATCTCATTTATGTTATCCTTAAGGAATATCTCTACTTGAATTTTCTTGATCAACAGACTTTTCGTGCTAGGATAATCTTATTCTTCAAAACAGCAGTAAAGCTTTTATTATATGTTTTTATTTTTATATTACCATTTTTTGCTTATCAATTGTATTGTTACTGGTTATTTTGTGTTTCTGATTTCTCAGAAGTTGAATTGCCTGATATTGTTGTTGAGTTTCTAATAAGAAATGATTTAAAACTTCCTTCTGAACCAAGCAAATGGTGTTTCTGGAATATACCCCTGGCTTATTCTTATGTTCAGTCTCGTTACTGGAATGTTGGCTTTCTTACATATCACACTGTAGTGCAGATTCCCAATTTCTTACTTGCTGCACCAATTCTAATATTAATGATATTTTCAAGTATCAAATACTTTAACAAAAACAGAAGATTTCTATGGCATGCTGGTCTTCTTGTAATGGAAAATGATGATCTTACTGACATCTATAATTGTACAAGATGCTTTCCGTATTTTCTTCATGTTTTCACATTGACCATATTCTGTGTGCTTTTCATCCATGTTCAGGTTAGTGTTATTTAACATTCTTCTTCACACAAATTTAATTTTTCTTTAAAATATAGTTCAGTATGAATGTTGAGATAGTACTCATTATTAAAAAATTCTGAAGTAAAATCTATGCATATACAGGATGATCCAAAAATAACGGAAAAGGTAAAAATTCAATAATTAAAAACATACAGACAATAGCTCAATGCAATTTTCAGAGAAATCCACAAAAATATATTAGATTTTTTTTAATAGCAAAAGAATGTTTTCCGAATGGTTATATTTTTCACCAACAGATCATGCTTCAGTTATATCGGGAGTTCATGTAGTGGAGCAGCACAGTTTGTAATGAATGTACTTATTATTACAGATGCTCACTCATGAGAATGGCTGTCAGACATGGCCTGACACTCTGCGTACAATATCTAAAAGGGTTCAACAGTAATTCCTTTTTTCAGTATGCCTAATAACACTGGCCAACCTCTGTGCACCTGAGACTTCAAGTAAAAATTTTTTTATTCTGACATGAAAAGTTTTCTTTATTAAAAAAAGCCCCATACCATTTGACACATGCTTTGTGTGTTACTGTCTATACATTTTAAATTTCTGAAGTTTTACTTTTGGATTACTCTGTATTTATTGTAATAATAAAAAATTCAAACATTAATTTTGATAAGATAGCTGTAATAATAATAGTTTGCAAAATAGTAATGAGCGGGATCAAATTAGGAAGTTAAAGTGCAGTTTATGTTAATTGGAGTTCTTCGAAATCTAATTCTTTTTCCTTCCCCATTGCTATGCTAACAACAACAACAACAACACACACACCAAAAAAAAAAAAAAAAAAAAAAAAAAAAAACACTACAAAAAAATTATGTCTTGGGGCTCCACTAATTGTTTAGGTTAGGCAGAAAAATGTTAACTGCTCTCCACGACTATTCAAAGGCCAAAAGCACAGTTGTGGCCAACATGAATCAATGTATTATCATTGGCCGTAATGTTCCATAACAGCAGGTTTGAATGTGGCATACAATATACTCAGCTAGTCAGGGAAAAAAAATTACTTTTTCTGGATATTTTTTTTAAGTATTCTCTATTCCTAGACTGTTAAAACAAAAGAAAAAAAAAAGACAATTGCTGGTGCTCTGAAGGTACGGATTTCGGTCTTTGTACTGTATATATATAGAAGTTTAGAAAAATTTAACTTTATTTGAAATTAGCTAATAGCAAAAGTATTTTTCCTTGCTCAAATTGTATTACTGTCTTTTTTGGCAACGCATTCAGCACATCTTTTATATGTTGTCTTTACTTTCTTAGCAGGAGGTGTATCGGCCTCATTGTTGCCCAGTTTTACGTTTAGGCTTTGTAGGAGCATTGCTTGTTGATTTCTTATCTTCTATAAGTTGAAATGGCAGTGTTTTTAGAAATGAGCATCAGGCTGGATGCTCAGTAGGTGGTTTCATTGTTGAAAACAAAATTATGCATGTATTTATTGCAGCAACATTCAACATGGAATAAAAAATAGTCGTAGGCCAACGACTTGTTTTTTTAGCCGTTGAATACGTGCAGCCATTTCATCCACGACATCCACAAATTATGTTTTTATCAGAAATTTTAACATTTCTACGGAATTTCATTTTACTTCATTTTGTTATATTATTCTTTCCTATAAAATAGTCCCTTTCATTTGAATCAGAAAGATCGCCCTCTAAATCATATTCTATTTCAGGCGAAGATTCGTGTTCACTCTAAATTGCTTCATCATCCGCTTCTTCATTATCGGAAAACTCATTACCTCTCTCAAGACTTTCTTCACCCGAAGAAACAGTATCAAGTAGATTTCTTAAATGTCTCATTTCTTCATCATAACTTCGAAAACGCGCCATAATGAGAGTACGATTTCAAGGCGTCTACTAGTACTCAGAATTGTAACAGTAATGCTCATGCTGGTGTGACATACCCTGGAGTGGCGATTACAAGATATCTATTTTTATAAATCTTTCCCCTATTCTTCCTTCCAAGGTTATGACCTTGGGGGCAGCTACAAGAAAAATCATCCATTTTTAAAAAAAGGTTGGAGAGAAACAGTGAAAAAAAACGGAGGGAGTGGGTATGACATACCCAGCGCGATCAAACCTGGGTTAATATCATGACATCTGGCTATAGATTGTGGAAATTGCTAACATTCGGGCATCCTGACTAAACAATTGCCCTCAATTGTCTTTTTTTTTTAAACAAACATTGTTGGCAATACCATAAGAATCCATATTGTGTGTATCCATTTGTGTACAGTATAATCACAATTTAAAGTTCTAGAAAAAATCATAATGAAGTTTTTCCAGTAAAGTTCTTTGTAGGTTTGGGACCAAAAAAAAAATAAAAGTTCACATTACCTGTCGCTTCACGAGTTAATATCTGAGTTACCTGATTCCTCTTCATCCAACTGATTTAGGTTATTAGCGTGCAAGACTTCAGCTGACTTACATGGACTGTTGTTGTATACAGTCTACCATACTGTTTTTCTTCCAGTTGGGTCACTCTGTATCACTGGGGAGTACTTCTTTCACAATCAAGGGTCCTCTGTATTTTGGTGAGTTTTTGTAAGTTCACTTGCTGCTTTTGATGGTTTGTCGAGCAACCGCTATTTCACCTGGTTCAAAAGTCATAGTTCAGCACCTTTTTCTTGTCGTAGTACTCTTTCATCTTATGCTGTTTCCTTTCAATGACACTGCGCATTTCTTCTTGAACTTCTTTTGGATCAGTCCATACATCTGCACTTTCATCGGTAACTTTTTGTAGGATTCCATCGTTAAATCTTGAAGAATAGCCATGTAGGGTTTTTAAAAGGTGTTTTATCCGTAGTTTTGTTGATAGTATTATTCTAATTTCTTTTTTTTGTGAATCCCAATCCTTGTGCCCTGATTCACTCGTAGATGGGGATATTGTGGATAAGATTGTTCAATTAGCTCTTTCTCCCATCCCGTTAGCCATTGGATGTTGGGTAGAGTTTAACGTGTGATTTATTCCGTTTTCACGACAGTACTGCTCGAACTGATGCGATGTATAACAGCTTCCTCTATCACTGATGACTCTATCAGGGAGTCCAAATTCATCAGTAAAATGTTATAGAGCTTTTAAAACATGTAGAAAGGATGTATTTTTTACAGCCTGGTAAATCTTGTGAAATTATCGATTATTATCAAAGGGTTCATACAGTCCTTAAAAGTCCTTAGGTGTTTTTTTTTTTTTTTTTAATCAATTGTTGGTCCTTACAAGTCCTTAATTTCAGCCAAAATCAGCAGAAGGTCCTTAACTTTAATCATCTGAAATTTCTGTCTTGTTTTTACCACTGCTGTTTTGAGTGTGAATTATCATTATGGAGGAATATTTTTGACAATTCACAGACAAATAAGATTATCTCTTGAATGGGTTCATGGGTTATTATTTGTTCCTATTTCTAATGTAAAGGGTGGGATATTGGAGTTTCTGAGTAAGGATTCAAACATAAGCATTTCAAAATTATTTTATTTTTTTAAATGAAGAGCATTTAAACAACTTTCTGCTTTTGGGGATGTAAATTCTTTTATTAAACAGCTCTAAATTTGGCGATTTTAAGAGATTAATTTCTGTAGAAAATTTTTAATTCTGAGTTTTTTTTTTTTTTTTTTTTTTTTTTTTTTTTTTTTTTGCGACATTGTAACATTGATAAATGTAACTAAAATAATGGTAATACATTTAAATTACATTTAAGGAATTATATTAAAATAAAACATTTTTATTTTCTTTTGCTGTCATATTATAAAGTGTCATTACTTTCTATTTTGGCGACTTATTTTATAGTATTTTGAATCTGAAAAATACACAAGGTAATAAATGCTATAAAACACAGTTTACAAAACAGTTCATAGCAAAAGCAAGATAGCTATATAATTAATTGAAAATTTCTTGTTTTTAATTTTTTTATGGTAAGAATTTTTCCCATGTAATTGTTTCAGAATATGTATGAAATTAATTTTACACTTTTCCCACTGACATTTTTTTTTTTTTTTTTCAAAATATTTCTAGACCTTTTTCTCTTGCAGAATTGGTAGGGCTAATTTTTCTTTAGGATTTTACACATTGCAACTTTGAAAGTTTAGAAGGATTTACAGCCCAAGTGGCACGACAATGTCGTAACGATGTTGCAAACTCGGCGAGGATGTCATTGCAATATGTCGTCTTTAAGACGCCAGATGTCGGTGAAACTTCACTGTTTTGCAACCGTAACCGTCAACCAAGACGTCTTTATTATGTCTTTGTAAATGAGTTTTTTTTTTTTTTTTTTTTTTTTGTCGCATAGACATTGTTATTGCGTCTTTCACAGGTGATATTTTGATTGTGAAAGCATCGTATCGTGAAGTCTTAATGACGCCTAAATGTTCACAAAATTCAACTTTTTTGCAACAGTCAATGAAAATGTCGTTAGTATGTCAATGTACGTAAATCAATATGTAACTTGTGTTACATACATCAATATGTAACACAAGTTACATATTGATTTATGCAGAAAAACAAGCTTAATATATTTTTCTTTTTTAAAATTTTGTATTTCTTGTATTTTTTTAAAGTTTAAATATTTTATCATTTCCTGAAAACCAGAAAAAATACAATTTTTTCTCTTCAGACTAAATATGCATAATTAATAATAGCCTTAATTATTTTCAGTACCTTAAACTATATTTTTTAAATAACTTAAATTCCAAGTTACGATTATTTAAGATTTCATCATTTTTTTTCCCTTAATCATTTAGTATGTAAGTGAAAGTAATTATGAAAGTGGTTATTATAAATATATAACATTAATAGTAGGTTTTAAGTAAATAAAAGTAAAGATGTATATGTGAGTTAAAAAAAGAGCATTTCTGATTATAACAGCATTATCACATTTATTTCTGTTAAATCTCAGTGACACTGAAAATTGCCCCCGTCATGATAAATTAGGAAGCGGTTCTTAAGGTAGCATAATCAGTATTTTACCT